CCAGGTATATTACTTTGAGCTGGCTGTAAAAATTTAATCTGACCATTAATGGACTCAGCAAAGACATCAGTTTTATGCTGCTGCTAAAAGCCCAGTTCTCAATTCATCTGCTCTAATGCTTGAAAGCTGTATTCATGCAGTTTCCCCGAGCAGCCTTATGCTCAGCTCTTTCTGCAAGTCCGTCTCACTGATACATAAATTTGAGACATAAATGGTCACAGTAATGGAGAGATGTTTCTCAGTTGGTTTTCACAGCCTAAATTTGTTCTCATCCATGAAATTACTATTCTTTGTATAGCACACTGAGAGATCAGCCAACTCAGTTTTATAACAAATGTCAAGACCGTGAATGTGTATCGTGACTGAAATCTCAACTGTTCCTTGGAAGGAACAACGTGACTGTCAAAAGCTAATTTTAAACTTAAAAAAATCTTAAAACTGAGTTTTAGAAAGTAATAATTTTATAAGATGTATTACACTTCAATGTAGATTATTGAATATAGATTGTTGTTGTTGTTGGGAGATTATTGGTTATATCAATGGAATTTACCCTGAAAAATGGCATTTAAAGATCACTGCAATGGCCTTTAAAAAAAAATAATACACCTGAGACCTCTTGTATAACAATAGATCTTTGATTCCCCCCCAACAATAGAACCTGAAATATAAAATCACAGAGCCCCTCTGCAATTACAATTTATGCCCTTCTTGGGATTTGTTTTTCACATATACAATTAAAATTAATAACCCCTCTATTGGTCATTGTGGTTGCTATTTGTATGCAACTGAGTCATTGTTATAAACTCATTAAAATTGTAGTTCACCTGTGGGGTCCTGGCATCAAGTGTCAACAAAAAGCTTTCAGCATGGAATTACTGCCTCGGTTTTTTGTAGTTCCAAGGTTTCATGTAGGAAATATTCTTCTCCTAATATGGATCAGGCCACAGCAGGCATCCCGCTGAATCATTCTGAGCAACTTATAGGAGAAATACCCCATTTTTATTATATTGTGGTGAGCTTAAGCGAAAGGAGGAGACAGAGATCTCTACTTTGGGAAGCAGAGCAAAGTGTGAGTGTAAAAAACAAAATCCAAAAAAATGAAAGCAATCTTGAACGGGTGGACTAGTGCATTACTCTACTGCGGCCTATGAGAAGGTAAGTAGCACGCAGGCAGCCACACTGACCAACCTCACATAAATTGGTAAAAGCCAACATGATTGGGTCACATATGAAATGTTCCCAGAGTCTCAGTTCTGAATTCCTTGGGTCACTGTACACCTTTATGGAATAACACCACCTTGCCTCCAACAGACATGACCGGGATCACCATCACTAATTTGAAACCAGAAACTACATACGAGGTCAGGATGTCTGCCATCAATGGGAAAGGTGAAGGCGAGAGCAGCCAGGCCAGCACTTTCAAGACTGAGCCAGTCCGTAAGTACTCCCCTCGCTTCTTGCTCCTGCTCTAAGTGCTCCTCTGACCCAAATGCTTTGAACCTAATGCCGTAGCTCACTCCGCTGCCTCCCCGTGTCTAGCTGTGCCCAGATGCTTTCACCCTTACGTTCCTCTATTCTCATGCCAAGCCCCCAGCGCAATCCTTTTCCATCCAGGCCAGAAGAAACGATAACTCACGACGACGCCGTCACTCCATGATCCAACTTTGTTAATAGGGTTAACGATGCAATGTGTAACCTACCTCTCCTTCATCACCCAGCACTTTTATGTACCTCTTTTTTTGGTGAATGTTTGTAGCGTGTAAGTCTGAATGAACCCTCGTCTTCATAGCCCACAGCTCAGGTGATTTACTGAAAGCTTTCTGCAAAGTACGTGCACATTCTTAAAGCTGATTTATACTTCAGTGTGAAGGAGTGCTGTCTCTGTATTTATAGTTCAGTGACAGCATGCATTTTTAATGTAGCAGCCACACATCGAGTCCTGCTGAGAATTGTTTATATTTTCTGATAGTGATGGCAGAGCATGATGAATTACTGGATATTTTAGAAGGTCAAGAACATTTTCTATTTAATGGCGTTAAAGCGGGTTTGGTGGACATATTTGTCATTGCCCTTGGTGCTTCCTATATATCACAGCTTAGTTAGTTAGACATATGGGGCAAACTTTACATCAAAGAGCAGGTATGTGACACTTGTCATCACCAGGATGTGTCGGCCTGACATGAAATGTGACTTTGAGTGTATTTTTGTTACATGCTTCTCACTGAAGTATAAATTGGGCCAGATAGTAGTGTAAATACGCGTACATTCTGCATTTTGATTCTCTTTCAAATCCAAATCATATAGCAAAAATGATCCAGTAACTGCTGTTTAACATGATAACAAGTGATTGCACATTGTAACATAGTAAAAAATAATAAGGATGTAAATTCACGGGAGAGGAAACGGGAGCTTTTTATCAGACAGCATTTCAAACCAAGGTCAGGAATAAATCTTTGTCTTATTTTGTGCCTGCCTTCATGTCACACTTCCATTTGTGTGCTTCTTCATCCTCCCCCCTTTAGAAATAGCTCCTCAGCATCCTCTTATTTTGCTTGCAGTAAAAAAACAAAAAAAACAAATCTCTTCCCTGTGTTCATTATGCTTATTTTGGAAACCCTTTTAACTTGAAGTTCAGCTCAGACGTTACAAAAATTGACTAAAATGTGATGGAGGAATCATATTAGATGCTGTAATCAGTTTGTTATATTGCATCAGAGGGGGGGGAGATTATCAGCCGCAAATCCAGATTCCTTACCTTGATCGACACCTTGAAGTCATTAAAAGTATTTTTCTACTGTAGTTGCTGATACAGTACCAGTATTATCAACTGTAAAACAGAGAGAAGCAGAACTTTGTGTGAACAGAATACTCAGTAAGGCACAATAGACGGTGGGTTAACGATTTGATAGGGCAGCTGGCCTCTTTCATTGATCATATTTCTCATTTCATTGTTTTTTTCTTCTCTTTGTTTTATTGTTTTCTCATCTGGTTTTTCATCTGTTCTCTCTTCCATTGGACTTCTCAGGGTATTCTGTCACAAGTAAGTTTCTGTCCTCCATGTCTTGGCTGCTTTATATTCGTCTGCATTTTGTCTCCATCCTCCCGTTGTATTTTACCCTCACCGTTCTCTGTGTTAAAAAAAAAAAGAGTGGTTACTAAATGATGCTACAGCCAACTGGATGTAAGAGCCGATCACACAGTGTTCCACAGAATCATCATCCAGTGCCCCAGAACTATGAATTTTCTTTTTTCCCCCCCAACCAATCAGCATTAGTTTTTTCTTCTTTTTTTTCCCTAATATAGCAAATGGAATACTTTTATGCAGTGTCAGGATCATTTTAGAGATATATGTGTGATGGTCTTAAAGAGCAGGTTGTTTTCTGCAACAGCTTGTAATTCCTGTTTTTTTAGTGTTTTTTGTCTCATGACGCCTTAAAGGTGTGTTGTTGTTTTTTCTTTAAAAAAAAATTATGTACTTCTGCATTGCAGTAGTTCAGTTAGGGAATGTTATATAAGGAATATACTCTCTTCAGACTATGACTTCGCCTAAATTAAAGACTATATATAGTTGCATTATCCGACGATGTATGGAATCATTTCTGGTAATTATTTTAAAAACTTATTTTGTCTTTGCATCTATTTTACGTATATTCCAGTCTTCAACTGCCCCAGATCTTTTGGGTTCCCATTCTTTTGATATTAGATGTTTTCAGACAGAGAGATTAATATCTGAAAAGTAAGAAAATAGAAAAACTACTAGTTTGCAGTAGATTACTGGAGGAGGGAGGTGTAGCTTTCTTTGGGAAAAGACTGTGCTTACTGTTACACAGGAAGAGGTTTTAATATCTCGTATAATACAGAGACCCAGAAGCTCAATGCATTGTATCTTCCTTAATAGAAAAATACACACATACACACACACAGAAAAACATTTCACCAGTTCACTTTATCTACAACCTTTAGAAGAATGTTGAAAAGTGAAAAAATACAACCAAATACTGAAACACTGCAGTGCAAGTAAACTTCAGCAGAAAAGTTTCCAGCCAGAACTAAAAAGTAGTGAAAACAGCTCGACATGCTTGCCAATTACATTTCAACACAATAGTGTTGAAATGTAAATCGGATTTGAACCTAGGACCTTTTTGTCCTGAGGCAATAGTGCTAACCACCAGTGCCTCATATTAAGAAGGTCCAGGGTTTGAATCCACCAGTCTGCTGGGACTTTTTTGTGTGGAGTTTGCTTGTTCACCGTTTGGGTTCTTGAGTATTTTGGCTTCCTCCCACGGTCTAAGGACATTCTAAGTTGGCCGTAGTTGTGAATGTGATTGTGTGAATGGTTGTCGGTCTCTCTGTGTTCGCCCTGCGATAAATAGGCGACCTGTCCAGGGTGTACCCTGCCTCTCGCCCCAACGTACCCAGCTAATCGTGATTCTAAATTAGATAATGAGAAGAAAGATGGATAGATTTTCTGATTACATTTTCTTCAACACAGTGCACTGACTTCATAGTACCACTGTGAAAAGCTTCATTTCCAGAAGCATGACTGGGAAATGTGCAGCTGTTTACATTGTGTGTATGTTTTCTGCCGTATAATACTTTTAGGGACAAATAAGTTGCGTCTTTTTAAAAGAGAGTTAAAGAGAAGAATTTAATTAACTTGGTGTAAAGAGTGTAATAGTGCTGTAGCGCCTAAGTGTTTGGGTGAGTGTGTGTGTCTGATTGTTGTGCTTATAATTTTGTTAAGCGAGTAATTGTATGTTGTTGCTGTAAACAAAACAAAAGGCAGTTGCCATAGGTATAGTAAGAAATCAATATGACATGTTACAGTCACTACTGTACAAACAAGAATGCAGCTTTGGATCCTCAAAAGTCTTACAAGCGCTGCAAAATTTTGGTAAATCTGGCCATAATTTTACTTTCATAAGAACTTCATTTAATGCTACAGGCCTGAGCTTTCAAAAGATAAAGGAGCATAATTTCTGTCAACTTATAAGTTGTTCATTTCAGCCTTTTATGCATTCTAAATATCGAGGCGCTATAAGCAGCCACGGTCTTAAACCCAGGTGGGCTGTCAAGACCTGAGCCCAGTATTTCAGGCAAGCAAATTCTAAATCTGTTTGCAAATATCTAAAATGCATGTATGCATGTAATGTGGGAGGAACCTAGGGAACCACAGTTGTGAACCATTTGGCTTCAGTTGGATCAGTGGGAGGACATGAACAAACCTATTCCTGTAAACTGGCTAAATGTTATGATTCTTAGTGTATTTGCAGCCCATTAGTTTACAATATCTAACACTTGAAGAACTATGAGCTTTTTAAACTCTTAGATGAATAGCTGTCAGTGGTTGTCAGCAAGAAGAAATGATGTCTTAGCAAGCGCTCACATTTCCATTGCTGTTAAAGAGCAAAGATCTGAGCTTAGTGAGCATGTAAATGCTACTGGTTGGGCCAAAACTACACAGTAATTTTTGTGTTCTTATAAGTGGCACAATGCACCCTGAGAGAACCAGTATATAATCAGTATGAAAATATCAAATGGAAATATAAAATTGCATTTATTCATATCATTTCATGTCCATATTAACACATTAATATGTCAAAACTCACTAGTTAGTATAGATGCAGAAATATAAGATTTGTCAGTGATCCAGGCAAATTCTTTATGACTAAGAGACAAAAAGAAACAGTCCCATCCTTGAGGGGTTTTTTTTCTGTTGAGGACTCCAGCGCCTCTCATTTTGTTTTCACCATCTTTCAGTTTCATCAGAGATACCACCCCCTATTGCTGCCACCAGTATGGCCCGTAGTGAGTATGCCAGTCCAGCAGTGTGCGCTGTGTCTCTTTACCTCTCTTACCTGCTTGGCATTGCATCTAGTTTTCATTTATATTTGTTGTGGGTCATAGGAGGGCTCAGAATCCCTCTACAGAGTGAAAATTGACAAAGAAATCGAATAGCTTTGCTAATTGTCTCAAATACTTAAAAATTTAGATTTTTACTAACACTTAAAGGTTAACCATCTGACATAGTGTTGTGTTTGCAGAATTAACACAACTTGCCTGTTCATTAATATTCAAAATTAGATTCTTGAGACCGTTGTTGTGCAGTTGGAATATATGAGTTTGTTTTACCAGGCCTGCTTTATCTACTGAGCCACTTACTTTGACAGGTGTAGAGGATACTTACTGTAGTTTAATTGCTATTTGTAGAGGCTTCATGCTAACACCTTAGTATAAAGTTAGGTGGTTTATAGAAAACTCATACCACTACATCATACAAATTGTTTATGCTATTATTCGCTATAAACATTAAGGTAGTAGGGTCCATGCTAACGCCTCATATTCTGTTTGTGTCATAACAGAATGCTGCAATTTCTATACTTTTACTGAGTAAAAACATTCGTAATTTTAGCAAATTCTAGTGTACTTACATATTTAGTTGATCTTAAAGTAGATTCAGTGAACATTTATTTTGCACCATTTTTTCTCCTAAAAACAAAGCTAAACATCAAATCAGCGTATGTTCAATGTGCCATTTGTTCACGCTAACGGGCATGGCTGCTAATGACAAATGAAAGC